GGAGCACAAAACCAGTCATAAGTAGCACAGGTATATTTGTAGCAATAGCCAACAATACCTTGTATGGGTCAAAATTATAAATTTTTCTTTTATGCCAAAAATCATTAGGATATTAAGTAAAGATCATGTTCCATGAAGATATTTTGTACATTTCCTACCGTAAATATATCAAAACTTCATTTTTGATTAGTAATATGCATGGCTAAGAACTTCATTTGGACAACTTTAAAGGCGATATTTTTTTTCTCAATATTTTGATTTTTTTTTTTGCACCCTCAGATTCCAGATTTTCATAGTATGAAATAGTATAATAGTTGTATCTCAGCCAAATATTGTCCTATCCTAACAAACCACACATTAATGCAAAGATTATTTATTCAGCTTTCAGATGATGTATAAATCTCAATTTCAAAAAAATTGACCATTATGACTGGTTTTGTGGTCCAGGGTCACACATTGTAAAATGTAATTTATTTCTGTGAGCTGAATTTTCAGCATTCATTACTCCAGACTTCAGAGTCACATGATCCTTCAGAAATCATTCTAATATGTTGATTTGCTGCTCAAGAGCATTTATTATTATCAATGATAATAACACTTGTCAAACAGTTGTGCTGCTTTATATTTTTGTGGGAACAGTGATAAATTTTTTCTGGATTCTTTGAATAGAAAGTTGAAAAGAATGACATTAATTTTAAATAGAAATCTATTGTAACCTTATAAATGTCTTTACTGTCACGTTTGATCAATTTATTGCATCCTTGCTGATTAAAAGTATTAATTTAAAAAAATTACCATTTCATAATCAAAATACATTAACTTTATCCATCCTTTTCCCATCAATTCCCTACTTTTTTCCCCTGTGAAATATCCTGTTTAACTCAGAAATACATCAGATTCAGTTTCATGTTGACTGTTGTCTTTTTATCTCTCTCTTTCAGTGCGAGTGCCGTATTTTATAGATCTGAAGAGACCAGAGGATCAGGGCTTGAATCACACTCGCAACTTCTACCTGCAGCCCGAGGAGGGAATCAACATTGGAGTGTGGTGAGAGCACAGACACAGACTACAGCTAAAATACAGACACAGCCTGGCCTGCCTCCACCCTTCATCTCCCTGCCTGTGCCTGTCTGTCTCTCTGTCCTCACGTTCTCTACCCTACAGGTTTCTGTCCCTCTTTATCTGCCTTATGGGCATGGCTGTCTTTCTGAAGGGCGTGGAAAAAGTGCTGCACTTATTGAAACAGCCTGTGGCCCAAAGTGTGTAAATCCGTGGTGACAGAGGACTGCATGGGCCTGTGGCTGCTGGCCATTGGGTGTGACTGTCTGTGTGTGTGTGTGTGTGTTTGACAGTGGGAAGGGCCACATAAGCTTCCTGCAGCTGATGCTGTAGTTTTCTCTGCATAAATAAGCTTGTCTGTGCACTGGTCAGATTCAGTATTGATAATGAAGTCTTGGTGAAGTGAACAGTCCTAAAGGAATACACTACTGTTCAAAAGTTTGGGTTCAGTAAGATTTTTTTAAACTTAATTCAGCAAGGATGTATTGAACTGATCAAAAGTGACAGTAAAGACATTTATGATGCTACAAAAAAGTCTATTTCAAATAAATGCTGTTCTTTTGAACTTTCAGATGATTACACAAAAATATAAGGCAGCACAACTGTTCTCAACATTGCTGCTCAAGAAACATTTATTATTATTATCAAACCAGCACATTAGAATGATTTCTGACAGATCATGTGATGCTGAAGTCTGGCGTAATGGCTGCTGAAAATTCAGCTTTCCCGTCACATGAATAAATTATATATTAAAATAGAAAATAGTTACTTGATATTGCAGTAATTTTTCACAGTATTACTGTTTTTACTATATTTATGAACAAATAAATGCCTCATGAACATGAGACTTTTTTTTTTTTCAAAAACAATGAAAAAAATTGACCAACCTCAAACTTTTGAACACTACCACGTCTTCTTACAGTCCTCTTTTTCACCATTTCATGTGTAGGAAGCAGTGTTGTAACAGCTGCGTATCTCTTTTGTATATCCTGTCATCTCTCTCTCTCTCTCTCTCTCTCTCTCTCTCAGTCACACAGTACCTTCAGTGATGTGGAGGGAGGCTCAGGCAAAAGATGCTGAATGGTATGACAAAAGCTTCCAGTCCAGTCATCCAGTCATCCTGTATCTTCATGGCAATGCTGGAACAAGGTACACAAACACTCTTGTGATCAACATCACTTGATAAAACCAACTCAGTGTCAAAAATGATTCAGTGGGAGTTAAAGCTGGAATGCACTTTTGCAGACTATACAGATTTTTGCCCCTGTCTGGAAGAGTCAGTCTGCATATTTGACCACAAGTCGTGTAATGTATGATGTGCACAGATTGTGATTGTATCCAGTCGTCGAAGATCAAACATGTTTGATATTTTGAGCTGATTTTAGAAAACACGTTTCCTTCATTTGTCATGTGTGTTCTAGCAATGAGGCCCTGTTTCTGTTGTGTTCTGAATGATTTGAAAGTCTGGTAGTATGTGATCCTCAGTCAGTTAATGTATGATGCCTAGTGTTTCCTCTGTAACCATTTTTATTTTGAAAGATTTGCAGTTCATCAAATGCAGATCTCTAGTCACTTTACTTAAGCTTGATTGTATGCGTGTTTCAGAGGAGGGGATCACAGGGTTCAGCTGTACAAGGTAAAACATTTGAATTTACACTATCTTTCAAAAATGTTGAGATCAGTAAGTTTTTTTTTTATATGAAAGAAATACGTTGTTTTATTCAGCAAAGAATTGCATTCAATTAAAAAAGTGGCAGTAATGTAACATAAGATTTATATTGCAAATAAATGCTATTCTTTTCCAACTATTTCTATATTCTTTCGATTCATTCTGAAAACGATCATGTTTCCCCACACAAAAAAATTAAGCAGGACAACTGTTTTCAACAGATTTGATTTTGAGCACCAAATCAGCATATTAGAATAATTTCTGAAAGAGCAACATATGACACTGAAGACTGGAGTAATGGTTGCTGAAAATTCTGATTTGCCATCACAGGAATAAATTACATTCTAAAATAAATTTCCACAAAAACAGTTATTTTAAATTGTAATAATCTTTGACAATATTACAATATTAAAAATAAAAATCTACCAATCCCAAAAATTTGAAAGGTAGTATACATTTAAGATTTGAAAGATCTCCATTTGTCTGAGGTCTTAGACACATTTTTATCTTCTTGTCTCTGCAGGTTCTTAGTTCATTAGGCTACCATGTAGTCACATTTGATTATAGAGGTATGTTGGGAGTCTATTTGAATGCACTATCCTATCATGCAAGTCAGAATCCCATTCCCAGTCTCGGAGTGAAGCACCAAATTGGTTTGTTTGTTTGTGCAGGTTGGGGTGACTCTGAGGGCAGCCCTTCGGAGAAAGGCATGACGTCAGATGCTCTCTTCCTCTACCAGTGGATAAAGCAGCGGATTGGCCAGAAGCCCCTGTACATCTGGGGTCACTCGCTTGGCACAGGGTGAGATGAACTCGCCTGAGTCATCTGAAAGAGCACTGTTGATGGTGTTCTTTTTTCTAGATGTGGATTTTCTAGTTCTTGGAATAACATTTTAGTTGTCCTTTGACATAAAGGAATTGATTGTGTTACTCCCCGTGGTATTATTGAACTGTTGCTTGCATTCCTGTTTTTCCAGAGTGGCCACTAACCTAGTGAGACGTCTGTGTGACAGGGGTACGTGAACATACATTCATGCATTTGTGTTTTCTTATGAGCTGGGATGTTGCAACTGAAAACAAATAGTAGCCAGCAGCATGAAAATACGGTTTAAAACAAAGTAGAAACTTGCAACAGTGGCTTTATCTGTAAGTGGCAAGCAGCCATTTACAAATCACTTTGAATACATGTATGAACACTGTCACCTAATTATTATTCATCAGAACTAATGAATAATGTCTCCAGAAGAAAAGCATAACCTTCTTGTGGGTATGTCCCCACGTGGAAAATGTGATCATAAAGGGACTAAATGATCAGGATTTACAGTCCTGGAAAATCTTGAAAATCCAAAAGTGTGATTTCAAAGCCTGGAAAAGTTATGAAGCTTAAGAAAATTTTAAAAGGTCATGGAAATTTCTACAGTCAATATACAGTACTTTTCAAAGGTTTTAGGTCAGTATTATTATTATTTTTTTAAAGAAATTAACACTTTGTTCATTAAGGATGCATTAAATTGAACAAAGAGAATGTTACAAAAATGTAAAATAAAAAAAAATTATAAGAAACATTTCTTGAGCACCAAATCAACATGTTAAGTTCATCAAAAAAAAAGTTGGATAAGTCATGGAAAATTCAAATTCGAGTGTAAAATAACTGAAGTTGTATTTTTGGTTTAAAATTGGTTCATGATAATTACAATTAGCGAACAATGAATGAATTAAAGTTCCCTAAAGAAAGAGTTTAGGAATATAATTTCTTCTTTTCTTGTTAGTACAGTACATAAGCGGCGACTGTGTTGACGTTTCAGAAATAGACAAGTCTTAACTAGATTAAGAGTGAACTAATGTAATTGCCAAGCACTTCTAATCAGTCTTTAAGTTACATAAGCCTGTAGTTGAGCCACTGTTTTAAACATGAAGGAATGATGCAGACTTCCTTCCTTTGTGCTTACAGGAACGCCCCCAGACGCCCTAATTTTAGAGTCACCCTTTACCAATATCAGAGAGGAAGCCAAGAGCCATCCCTTCTCTATGGTGAGAAACCAAGTTCCTGTTCAATCTCGCATACTGCCTTTGTGCAACAAATAAACATAACTAACCTTGAACATTTATATATGCTCATTTGAACAGGTTTACAGATATCTGCCAGGCTTTGACTGGTTCTTCCTGGATTCTATAACTGCGAATGATATCCGATTTGCCAGTGATGAAAAGTAGGTTCTTTTAGTCTTATATTTCTCTGTAAGTTTATGTGTGAGTGATTGTTTACTCTGTGTCCACTTACAAAGACTGTTGCGTGTTTATACAGCATGGTGTCCTTGCAGCTGTGCTGAGATAATCATCTCGGGGCTCTGTTCTGTAGCGTTTTCACACGCTAGCGGCTTCATCTTCCTCTGAGAACTTGTTTTAGAAACAGAATTAATGTGCATGTGTATAAATAGACCGATTGATCCTTGAGTCACAGATGAAGTGATCATGTAATTCATTACACAAACCTCTAGTGGAAGGTCCCACACTATAAAAAAACCGATCTATGTCCTGAATCCCTATAAGGCAGTACTTGTTTTGAGTTTGGAGCATCTCCAACCACTGAATTGTGTCTCTTTGTCTCTTAGTGTCAACCACATATCCTGTCCGGTTCTGATACTGCACGCAGAAGATGACACAGTCGTACCTTTCCAGCTGGGAAAGAAGGTAAAATATCGGTGTCAGACAATGAGAGGGTTTATTTAAAGGGGTCATATGATGCTGCTAAAAATAACATTATTTTGTGTATTTGGTGTAATGAAATGTGTTTATGCGTAAAATGGATATTCCAGACTCTAAATTCAGATTGGATGAGCCATATTCAGAGCTATTGTAAAATAGCTGATAGGCTCATTATACTTAGATCACAATAATTTGATCACTTGTTATGATGAAACCTGATTGAGTCGATGCTGGTGTTGGGAGATTTGGTTTTTAAGCACATATGGCATGTATGATTTTTTTTTAATAAATTAAACAACTTGTTACAGTGGTAAACAAGGAATATTCTGACAATATACAAACAGAATAATAAAAAGTTACAGTAAAACTGCTTTTGTTTTGTTCAGAAAGAATCTAAACTAAACTTTCATTAATATTATCAAACCTTATTGTACTTTATAAAATAAAACTACACTGCTACTCATAGCTATTTGAAGTATAATAATAATAAATGTATTTATTATTTATTAATAAATTATTATTATTATCATAACCAATTATTGCTATTATTATTATATATTGTCATATCTGTTCATGCATTTGTTTTAAAAAAAATGGTCTGTTCTTCTCTGTAACAACAACAACAATAATAATAATCTTTTCATCCACAGCTATATGATTTGGCGGCTCAGAGCAAGAGTCTGAACGGTCATAAGGTTCAGTTCATCCCGTTTCCCAGCTCTCTGGGCTACAGACACAAGTTCATCTACAAGAGCCCACAGCTACCAAATATACTCAGGTGTGTACGCTTTACAAACTGCTGCTGTTCGTATTTTTTCCCACTGCTCAGTGCTGACAAAACAGTTTGGCTACATTCATCTTTTTATTCTGTTGGTTGAGAATACAAGCTATTTTTAGGATTGTGCCAGGTGGTGTAGTTTTTACATTCTGCTCCAGGTCCCTGACCAACAGCTGTGGCGATAGTAATTCAGACTGAAATCACTGTCTATATGTGCTGAAACTGAACACAGATATATGTTTTTATTTGAGATGGGTTTTTTGCTAATGATCTTTCAGGGAGGCAAACCTGTACATTTCTTTAGGAACACCAGGTCAAACATTTTGTCAACTGAACTGCTGTTATCTAAATAATTTATATGAAGTAGTCTGAGATTTTAAGTAATAATGTTTAATTTTATAAAATAATTATTAATTTAATTATGGTCAAATAAGGTATAAAGTGTTATATTTTAATTTGTTCATATTTTTATTTTGAAATAATAAAAAAATAAATCACAACATTTAATATTTAAATTTAGTTAAATTATATATTATGTAAAATAAAAAACATATGACTTTGCATTGTATAACAATATACATTTTGGAAAAAAAAATTCAGAACTAATTACCCTCAATTACTTTTAATCAACTGGTTGCAAGGTCATTTTTACTGGATATATTAAATATAGTTAATCTTAATTTTGAACATTTATGTTTATTGTTTTATAATTGGAACTAGTACTAACATTTTTCGTGAAACACAAGTGTGCTTATTTTATTTAATGACACAGTGACACAGATGTTTAGTTAAAACATTAAAATATTTAAGTATTGAAAACCCCCATCAGGAAATGCCGTGTTTGAGATTAAATAAGTAGTATTGAAATTGGTTGCATTTAGTTCCAACAGATGGGAATTTTAAGAAGTCTAATGTGTTGTTCTTTTTGTCTCTGTGTCTCAGTGATTTTCTCAGTGCGCCGCATCCTCACGTGTAGTCAGGATCATTTCAGCCGACTGCCCTCTCTCACACACTCTCTGTTAAACACGCACACACACACATACACAATCTATGTGATCTGCACCGTGTACTTGCACACACACACACACGAGCATGGACTGAAGATGCACCAGTTCTTTTGCATTCCTTTAACGTCAAACCTGGAGGAAGAAAGTTATCGTCATTGAGAGTGACAGGGCTGAGTGATTTCTTACACCGCCTCCTGTTGCCATGGTAACAGATCTGAAGGGGCAGCTGGAGCACAAAATATGCAAAATAATATGCAGATATGCACTTAAATAATGCTTAAGTCAACAACCCTCTTCAAAGGAGAGACGTACTGATGACGTTTTAGCGATGGCACTGCGAAGACCACAAGAGGATTATGGTCAAGGGGACGAAACAGGACAACATGCTATAATGATGTCATTGTCAGTGCTTGCTGACTGCAAATCACTCCTTTTTTACGAACATAAAACAACGACAATATCATGGACCTTATTTCAATTCTGAAATCCACTCAGTGTGAACAGCGAGTTGTTTTAGGTTGAACTTGAATTGTGTACAATAAAATGTCTTTTTTTTGTCTTTATTTTTCTCACGATTTGAATCATGATTTAAAGTGCAGAATTTTGTGCTGCTTGGCATTAAAACTCTGTGATATTTTTATGCGATGTTTTGTGTATTGTGCTTATGCGGTTGTGTTTGGTTGGTACATATGCAACTCAACTGCATCAGAACCAAATGAGCTTTTGAAATGATATTTCCCTCCCCAAATTCACAGATGTTTCATTATTTTAATGCATTTGGTTGCTCAATACTAGTTTGCATGCCTGTTACTGGAAAAAAGATTGTTGTATAGTCAAAAGACAACAGAAAACTGTATGAAATCCTTTTCTTTACTTGGTTATGTGGGTTACATATTTTCTTTATACTCTCACTTTGCATATTCCAAAAATAAATAAACAAAATGAATTATTACCATAATATGTTGAATACCAAAATCAAAAACCTTAGTGACAAATATTAAAAGAATGACTTAATTTATTTTTATTACGTTTATTACCCAATTGATATACAATATTGTTCAAGAAGTCTTATGCTAATCAAGGCTACTTTTTAATTGATCAGAAGTATAGTAAAAACAGTAACATTGTTGAATAGTATTACAATATTTTTTGTATTGAATATATTTTAAAATATAATTTATTTCTGTGATGGCAAAGCTGAATTTTCAGCATCTTTACGCCAGTCTTCAGTTACATAATCCTAATCATTCTAATATGCTGATTTGGTGCTCAAACATTTTTCTTATTATTATTATTATTGTTAAAAACGGCTGTGCTGCTTAATATTTTTGTGTGGAAACTATGATGCCTTTTTCAGGATCCTTTGATTAATAGAAAGTTTAAAAGAACAGCATTTTTTTTAAATATAAATGTCTTTACGGTCACTTTTGATCAATTTAATGCCGCCTTGCTGAATAAAAATATTAATTTCTTTCCAAAAGAACCCCCCCAAAATTTGGAACTTTCTATAACAAGCTTGTTTACTCAATTCACTTTTAGTGTATCTTGCAATGTTTTATAATTGTGTTCTTTAATTTGGTGGAATATGTGTAATGGATTTTAACATGCACAAAGTAAATGAGGCAATACTCAAGTCAAGGACTTAGTTGGATACCAAGATCCATGACTCTACGAAACAGTGAGCAATAATGACACATCTTTGATTTGCTCTAATGTCTTGTCCTGTATATATATGATGAATATATTTTCTTCACAATGTGCACTGACCATCTGACAATTCTTATTTGCATATTTAAAGTAATTTTCACTGTAATACAGCCCCTTTGATACTCAAGGTCTGCTGTATTGTTGTTCTGTGTGTCAGGTTATATTTGTTTTTTTTCCCTCAAATATTTCTGCTCAAATTTTATTTGAATTTTTTTAGGGCTGATAATAATAAGGTCATGTGTGCATGCAAGCTTCAATGGTAGATCTAGGCTCTCCGCTGATGTTATTGATGTTATTCTCAGAAAGAAATTGTATTAATAATTTTTGTTTTCGTCTGCTGGCATGTGACTGAGAAAATCTCTTCGTTTGTGAAGGACTATGTAGGAATGACGTAGAAATAATCATTTTAGCAAGACCACCAGGTTATAGAGAAGTGCAATAATATCATCTAAAACTGAAGGACAACCAAATGCAAGACCAAAAAAAAAACTAATATATATATATATAAACATGAAGCCGCTCACTTATATATTCCATTGTACTAGAATGTAAAAATGGACCACAGAATATTTGGATGTTACGGCTCTGAACACAGATTTTATTCTGCCGTCTTTGTTGATGTTGACCAAACTTTGCATATTTGAATTCAACACTTCTGATATTTTACAATTATTTTTGTAATGAAATACTGCCCAGTTATTTCAACAGCAACTGTTACTTTTTTGCAGAATATATCATGAGTGGTTTACAATGTTTGTTTTCTTCTAAGCTGTTAAACCTTACCGGACACATGCACAGATGTACACTATGTTTGTTTGTAAACAATAAAAGACTGCAAAAGAAATGTATGCTTTTTGATATGCATTATTTAAAAGGCTTTTATACCGAATCCCAGGAGGACACTTTTTTTTTGTTTATTTTCTTATAATTTCCTCTCTCTATAAATTTCTGTTTCTGTATTACACCGTTTTAACCATTTAAAGAAAACCTTGAAAACCTTGCTCAATTTGGAGAAAAAGTTCAACTGTCTAGCATTAACCTGCTCTTCTTGCAAATATAATCAATATAATCCCCATAATGACCAGCTAAAATTTACTAGGCAGGGACAGACTGGTCAAATCCAGTTAAACTAGTTAAAGCAACGCAGGAAGGCACATATAGGAAGCTCTGGGAATTTTTGCTGAATTAACATGCCATTTTACTATGAATAAGGTTCAGTTTTACTATGCATCAGCCTCAATACCTCATTCATGTGTTCACTTTTACCACACCTGGCACCTGTTCAAGCCATTCCTTACTATTCTGAATATGAATGCTGCGTTACAACATGACATCAGTATTCAAGCTTTAAAACAATGAACAGATTATACCTTTAGTTACCTTTAGTCATTTTAAGTCAACAGCATACCGTTTTTGTTTTCAACATTTTTATTATTTGTTAACATGGTTTTAACACCATTAATTGTATACAGTACTTGTGTAAAATGTAGCAAGAAAACAAGGCCTCAGTACAATGTGTGAAATGAATGTTCAAAGGCACATCCATAAGCATACATTCAAACGACAGACCGCAAATCTGACATGCTGTTTAGAGTTCAAACTAATTTGCTTTATGAATTTCCATTTGCCAAAGTTCAAGCTGCTTTGTAAAATGAACAACAGGACAAACATCTCATAATTTGGTAATGCTATGTGAAATAGCAGAGCAAGCTGAATCAGCTTTGACCCTGACAAAAAAAAAAAAAAAAAAAGTCAAGGACTTAGTTGGATACCAAGATCCATGACTCTACGAAACAGTGAGCAATAATGACACATCTTTGATTTGCTCTAATGTCTTGTCCTGTATATATATGATGAATATATTTTCTTCACAATGTGCACTGACCATCTGACAATTCTTATTTGCATATTTAAAGTAATTTTCACTGTAATACAGCCCCTTTGATACTCAAGGTCTGCTGTATTGTTGTTCTGTGTGTCAGGTTATATTTGTTTTTTTTCCCTCAAATATTTCTGCTCAAATTTTATTTGAATTTTTTTAGGGCTGATAATAATAAGGTCATGTGTGCATGCAAGCTTCAATGGTAGATCTAGGCTCTCCGCTGATGTTATTGATGTTATTCTCAGAAAGAAATTGTATTAATAATTTTTGTTTTCGTCTGCTGGCATGTGACTGAGAAAATCTCTTCGTTTGTGAAGGACTATGTAGGAATGACGTAGAAATAATCATTTTAGCAAGACCACCAGGTTATAGAGAAGTGCAATAATATCATCTAAAACTGAAGGACAACCAAATGCAAGACCAAAATATATATATATATATATATATATAAACATGAAGCCGCTCACTTATATATTCCATTGTACTAGAATGTAAAAATGGACCACAGAATATTTGGATGTTACGGCTCTGAACACAGATTTTATTCTGCCGTCTTTGTTGATGTTGACCAAACTTTGCATATTTGAATTCAACACTTCTGATATTTTACAATTATTTTTGTAATGAAATACTGCCCAGTTATTTCAACAGCAACTGTTACTTTTTTGCAGAATATATCATGAGTGGTTTACAATGTTTGTTTTCTTCTAAGCTGTTAAACCTTACCGGACACATGCACAGATGTACACTATGTTTGTTTGTAAACAATAAAAGACTGCAAAAGAAATGTATGCTTTTTGATATGCATTATTTAAAAGGCTTTTATACCGAATCCCAGGAGGACACTTTTTTTTTGTTTATTTTCTTATAATTTCCTCTCTCTATAAATTTCTGTTTCTGTATTACACCGTTTTAACCATTTAAAGAAAACCTTGCCCTTGGATCTCAATTTGGAGAAAAAGTTCAACTGTCTAGCATTAACCTGCTCTTCTTGCAAATATAATCCCATCACAAACCATAATGACCAGCTAAAATTTACTAGGCAGGGACAGACTGGTCAAATCCAGTTAAACTAGTTAAAGCAACGCAGGAAGGCACATATAGGAAGCTCTGGGAATTTTTGCTGAATTAACATGCCATTTTACTATGAATAAGGTTCAGTTTTACTATGCATCAGCCTCAATACCTCATTCATGTGTTCACTTTTACCACACCTGGCACCTGTTCAAGCCATTCCTTACTATTCTGAATATGAATGCTGCGTTACAACATGACATCAGTATTCAAGCTTTAAAACAATGAACAGATTATACCTTTAGTTACCTTTAGTCATTTTAAGTCAACAGCATACCGTTTTTGTTTTCAACATTTTTATTATTTGTTAACATGGTTTTAACACCATTAATTGTATACAGTACTTGTGTAAAATGTAGCAAGAAAACAAGGCCTCAGTACAATGTGTGAAATGAATGTTCAAAGGCACATCCATAAGCATACATTCAAACGACAGACCGCAAATCTGACATGCTGTTTAGAGTTCAAACTAATTTGCTTTATGAATTTCCATTTGCCAAAGTTCAAGCTGCTTTGTAAAATGAACAACAGGACAAACATCTCATAATTTGGTAATGCTATGTGAAATAGCAGAGCAAGCTGAATCAGCTTTGACCCTGACAAAAAAAAAAAAAAAAAAAAAAAATAGGACTTTTCCATCAAAAAGTTAAAGGACACGCATGATGAATTCCCATGAGTTTACATCAGCCAGCTGCCATATATCTATTCTTATTATTTTATGAAAGATTTACAAAGGGATGTTCTCTCTTATTGTTGTTAATATTGCACAGTGTGCACACAAGGCACCCTTTAACCTGCGTTTGAAAGCTTGAATAAAAAGATCATTTGGACACCGAACAACCACATCACATGCATTCTGGAGTCATTATATCAATTCTGTTTGCATTTGTTACTTTTAAAGCTGTCATTTCTGACTGCTTATATCACGTATTTTAAGGCAAATATACTACTTCTACTGAATTTAAACAGACTAAATGTGGTTGCAGGTCAAATATTTTGTCATATTTAAGAAATATTCTAGGACACGAATGTTACTCAAGTCTCCAATGGTTTCCAGTTGCTGATTTGGCTTCATAAAATACTCAAAGGCTCTTGTTGGGTCCCACCGTGTTCTCTGTTATAATCAGTCACAACCGCCACTCTCAAAAGTGAAACAAGGAATGCACAAAAATTGAGAATTTTCACCAGTTGATGCATAAATACTTTTGAAACTGGACTCAATTTTGACAAAACGAAGCTTCAATAAATCAGTCTCAGATGACCAACGAATTGAATTTGCATAATGGAAACCATGATGATTGATAATTAAGTATAGGCATGTGAAAGTAACAGTGATTTAAAACCTACTACAGAGTAAGTGCACATGGAAGAGTTAAGTTTTTTGTGTGTGTATGTTGAGGGTACACTACAGTAATGAAGTTCAAAGAGGCTCCACATGGTGTTATGCATAGTGAGAGAAACCTGAATCTGAATCA